TGCTCTGGTTACAGCCAAGTCCTCCGTGACTCCAGCAGCAGCGGTGGGCTGGACCGAGCAATGTCTTCTCATCCACTAGCAATTTCCCTCCACCTCGGGGTGAGACGCATTTACCGAAGCTCTCCATTGTTCAAGGGGTCCAGCTTTGCCAAGGAAGGAAATGGGCCTGGTGAGACGCAGGCTTCTCTGTCTGATGAGAGGCTTGGGCTGCCCTTTCCTGCTGCCCCACTGAAACAAGTGCCCACCGCCCCCAGACCAAACCGAGCAGAGGCAACACAGTGGGCTTCTGTCCCCTCTCACGGGCCTCGCGTCTTCTCTCACTTCCCAGCAAAATCACTGTCCCCTCCCTTGACCTCCTACTCCTCCTCATCCCCTGGCTTCTGTCCCACGTCTCACTGCACCAGCCGGCCACCCAGCAGCTACTAAATGGGAAGGAGAGTGTTCAACTCACTATGCACCCCAGGCTGGCCTCAAATTCCCAGCAATCCTCCTGTCTCAGCCTCTTGGGTGCTGAGATTATAAGTGTGCGCTACAAAGCCTGGCTTTAAGTCTTCTGAAAATTCCATTTCTTGGGAGTTGTAGCTCAGGGATAGAGCGCTGGCCTAGCATGCATAAGGCTGGGGGTTCAATCCCTACTATTGCTACAAAAAACAAAAAAAGAAACGATGGAAGGACATCATGAGCCAGGTATGGTGGTGATAGTAGTCCCAGCACTTGGGAGGCTGGAGAAGGAGGAGTCAGCCTGGGCTACATAGTGAGTTCAGGGCCAGTCTGAACTACATAGCCAAAACAAAAACAAACAAACACAAATAAACCAACAAAAAATCCGACACCTGGGATAAAGGACCCATGGCAGGTTTTTTGTTTTTTTTTTTTCCCCCTACAGATGTGTGCCAAGGATTAGGGGATTCAGCACTGGCACACAGGAGGAACTCAATGAGGGTCAGTGCTTGTTGTCAGCTGCTGAGTCCCAGGGGATGCTGTGGTGACCTAAGGACAGACTGGGGCTCAGCCTGTCTGTTGGGTCCCTTGTGGTAGCATCAATCCAAGAGATCCCAGAATGCCCCTTGTCCCGTGAAAGCCAGCAGAGTCCTGAGACTGGGGAGGGAGGTGTCTCTGGCCAATAAGGCACCGTGGACACGCTGGGCACCACCTGCCCCTTTACTGCCCACTCCACATTGCCACAGGAGCACTGGGGGCAGGGAGTGACCGTGTGAGGCAAGAGGACTCTGAAGGTCAAGATGATTGCGGGCCCGATTTTAAGGGCAGATCCATTCCCCCAAAGGATCTCCCTCCATCCCTCCTTCCTAAAAACATTTTTTTTTTTTTTTTTTTGGACAGGGTCTCACTATGTGGTTGAGACTGACCTGGATCTCCCTATGTAGCCCAGGCTGGTCTCGAACTCACAGCGATCCTCCTGCCTCAGCCTCCCGAGTGCTGGGATTACAAGCATGCGCCACCATGCCCGGCTGCTAAAAACATTTTATGGGTCAGGAAGGGCAGGAGAGAAGTGAATGGTAACCTGGTCTTTCAGCTGGAGATGTCACCAATTAGATTTATTTGGGTCACAAAATTATATCTTTAAAGAGCAAACTAGGGCAATCTGAGAGAATGGAAAGAACAGTTTGGAGGAAGACAGATTTGGGTTCCACTGTGAGCCTCTCCGGTGCTTAATTCAGTCTCAGAGAAAGGTCTGAACCTCTCCAGAACTTGGCTTTTCCATCTGTACCACTGGAATAATGATGCATAGGGATGCTGGATTAGCGATACTGCTATAAATAAGTTTAGTTACTTAGCTTTTGCATATGCTAGGGAAAGGGCCTGACAGTTGGGTGATCAGCCACACTGATAAGAATTTAAACCCTACATGCTGAGTAGCTGGGTTAGAGAGCCTGAGCTCCAATTGGTCACTTTAAACCCACAAAGCCACCTGCAATAGGTGGTTACTAAACACCTGAACATTCCCTGTGCCCCACTCATCCAAAAGAAGCTCTGGATCGAGGAGACACCCGGCGATTCACTTGGGACCCCTCTCAACTGGGAGCTATTTCTCTTCCAATATTGCTAATGAACACCCCCCACCCCCAGCTTCCTCCTTTTATCCACAGTTTCATCCTTCAACTTTACAAGAGAACAAGCTCAGGTTTATGAGATTTGCGTGGAATGAATTTTCACCACATTTGTAAAGTACTGACTCTGCTGTCTGGTATACAGCAATGGTAACAAAAATGCAGGGGTTAAGTGCCACGATGATGCAAAATGAAACTGTGCATGGAGGAGCCAATTTATTTAAAAGATATAAAGGCAGGAGAGTAAAAGATAGAAAGGCAAGGAAGTAAAGCTGTTGGCGGGAAGGGGGATTTTGAGTAGGGCTCTTTGTCTAGAGGCGTTTAAGGAGTCTAGTAGGGAACTCAGGCTGTTGTATAAACAATACAATCTGTACCTTTTAGAAGACGACATACTTTTTTTTTATTAAGTTTATTGGTACCTCTTCAGTATCCAGTACAGTTACATTCATCATTGGGATCTTGTACCTTTACATGATGTATCTTGGTTCTCATTTTCCCCCATACCCCTGCCCTCCCTTCATCCCCTCCACCTTCCCCTATTTACAAAGACTTTGTTTCCATTTTTTTCCTTTTCTCATATTTTTTCTTTTCCTTTCTATTCCCTACCCCTCCCACTTCCCCTACACCTTGGCCCTCAAGACTACATACTTTTCAGGCCCAACCTATATAGTGTTCATACAATGATCCTTGAACCTGTGATCTTCCTGTCTTTGCCTCTCAAGAGTGGTGGGATCAAAGGTTTGGGCAATCAGGTCCAGCTTGTACTCCATATCTTTTATTATTTTTTACTTTTTTTCTGAGGCAGGGTCTTGCTATGGAGTTCAGACTGTCCTTGAACTCATTCTGTAGCCCAGGATGGCCTCAAACTTGTGTCCATCCCTCTGCAACAGCATTCTAAGTGTTGGGATTTTAGGCATATGCCCCCATGCCCAGAGAGTATGTACTTCTTTATCTCTGCCTAATAAAATCTGTCTATGTCTCTTATTAATCTGTCCTGAAATTCTTTTCTTATGACAACAGCCAAGCACCTTCCAGGTGGGCCTGCTAGATGAGGACCTCATCTCTTCTTTGGGAAAACTCTCCAGAGCCCACACGGTGACATGATCACATTTTCCTCTCTGCAGTCACCTCCCTGGTCTCAGCACTATCCTCTCTGGCCTGAGGTGTGGCACAGCCTCTTGCCTGACCTCCCTGCTTAGACCCTGGTTCCCATGGTTACTCCAGCCAGACACATCCTGTCACTAGGGAAGTCAGGTGCCCCTGTTACTCGTGGCCTGGTCAAAGGCCTGGATCTGGGCCCCTGCTTTCTGGGATTGTTTGCCTGCTTCACAGCCACAGACAGTATGAGAAAAACCCATAAAACAAGCCAGGCATGGCAGTGCATGCTTGTAATCCTCTGGAGGCTGAGACAGGAGGATCCCCCTGAGTTTGAGGCTAGCTTCAGCTACATAGTGAGTTAAAGACCAGCCTGAATTACACAGTGAGTCCCAAACAAACAACAACACAAAACAACCCCATAAAACATGGAAAAGTGAGTTTATTTACAATTTGGTCAAGTTGGGAGGGCAGCTACTCTGTACCTTTTTTGCTTCGAGGGCAAGTAAGAGCTCCACTCTATAGAAAGGACAGAACAAAAAGTCATTGTGAGAGCTTTGGCCTAATAGCCTGGGGCATCAGGGCTAGAGAGAGAGGTTTATGTTTTCAACATGAGGAAATTGGAGTTTATGTTTAAAAAAATTTTTTTCCTGTACTGAATCCAGGACCTTGGCCCTGAGCCACGTTTCTAGTATTTTCATGTTATTTATTTTTGTGGTAAAATTTGAATTTTATTTTGGTTCCAATTTACTTTTATTGACAGTACATCTCGATTTTATTATTCATTTTTAAGGGCTGTATACTTCTTTTTGTTGTTGCTTTTGGTACCGGGATTGAACTCCGGACTATATTTTTGTTGTTTGCTTTTGAAGGATTTTTTTGGGGGGGTGGGTACTGGGGATCCAACTCGGGACCTTGAGCTTGCGAAGCAGGCGGTGGCACCACTGAGCTAAATACCCAACGTAGGACTCTACACTTCAATACTGGGTAATACGTCATTTCGAGCCGGTTGTATTGAAATATCCTGGAATGTCTTTGTATTTATTTATTTTTGAGATAGTCTCGCTATATAACATAGTTCAGGCTGTCCTTGAACTCACTATGTAACCCAGGCTGTCCTTGAATTCGCTGTGATCCTCCCGCCTCAGGAAGGACTACAGCAATGCGCTACAACGCCCAGCGTGTGGTGTTTTTTGTTTGTTTTAAATATGAGTTAGAGTCTTGCTGAATTACCCAGGTGGACCTGAACTTGCAGTCCTCTCGCCTCTGCCTCCCAGACTGCAGAGAAGACAGGTGTGCCCCACTCTGCCCGATTTTAATCTCTCAGGTTGCAGCACTGCTCCAGACCTTCAGAATTTGTCCCTGGTCCGGTCTCACAGAGCTTGGACCAATCAGCCCGGACGCGCGACCCCTCCGGCACCTCCCGCGATAACCGCGCGGCTTGGCCTTCGCACTGAAAAACCGGAGATGAAAGACTCTCTCTCCCCGCCCTAGGACCTCACACCGGAAGCGAGGCGTGTCCGACAGATCCCGCCGGCTCTGCGCTCTGCGCTCTGGGGTGGAAGAGCGAGGAACGTGATTCTTTGGTTGCAGGCCTCCTGTAAAATAGTGCGCCTGTTTCTTTTTTGTGAGATCCTGAAAATCAACTCCTCTCCCTTCATAGCTACGCCCCGGACATAAAGGCCGAGAGCGGGGCTGGTGGACAGAAGCGAGACAGTGGGCCTGCGGCAAAGGTCGGGTGGCCGCTGCGGTCAGGTAGCGCAGCTGCTGCGCATTG